GAAATGCGTATGTATAAATGTATGTGAATGGAAATGCAATGCAACACGAGCATAGTATGAAGTTAAACATAAGGGTACCCTACACGGGCTAAAGGATGAACCTTAGTTTCGGGGATTAAGATAGACCTAAGGAAACCTAAATTTAAAGGAGAACACCCTATACTGACTTAAAGATTGTAACTGACACAAGGAACTCCTTAAGGACTATGGATAATGAAAGACGAAGAGGAATCTCTATAAGCTAGGGATTATGATAGACGGGCAGTTGAGTTAGAGGTTTGACTTGAGGGAATAGCATGAAAGATAGCACATGGTGACCATTCAACAGTCACTAGATCCCATGGCCTTCTAGAGGTCACTTGGCGTGCATCAACGGGGACGTCCTTCGTGGGAAGGTTCCATATGGAGGACAAGATCCTATAAAGATTCTAAGGACAATGACGAACAAAAGGGAATCTTTACCAGTTAGGGATTATGATAAACTAAAGGAAATCCCCACAGGCTAGGGATTAAGATTTTCAAAAGAAAATCCCTATTGGCTAGAGATTATGATAAACCAAAGAAAACCCTACAGGTTAGGGATTGTGATACACCATAGGAAATTCCTACACGCTAGAGATTGTGACTCAATAGAAAACCCTACGGGTTAAACCAAAGAATACCCCTACGAGTTTAGGGTATAATAACTATAAGAGGTAACCCTACGTAGGTTTAAAGTTACAAAAGAATGTCCCTCGCGAGAATGATTCTTATGAAGGATGGGATGACAATAGATTCCTTAGTACGTAGGTTTCTAATTTCGTCCTACGAATATTCTATCCTCCCCATAAGGTGGCTTCCTTAAGGGTATTATGGATAAAACTAGAGGGAAAGACATAGGGGCTTCTCTTAAGCAGAGCCTCTTTGTAGACTGAGACTTTCGTCTCTTAGGTCGTACAAGGTCTCACCATGAGATTTTGTTTAGGGTTATACAAAGAGTCATTTTCCAAATTCCGAAGTCCTACCTCATAGAGATTCTAGCCCTCTAAAAGATATTCCTTATTTGGAATTCAACCGACTCTAGGTGAAGTCCTCACAAAAGCTCATAGGGGTGTTTACCCCCCTTGGCTAATAGACAATCATTCTTCTAATGTTTGTTATGTTGAAATTTGAACTTAAATACCACCAATAATAATATGATAATAAAAATAGTAATAAACAATAAATAAAATGTAAATAGATATAAAACAAAATATGCCAAAAATAGAAAAACCCAAAATAGAAACCCTAGGTCTAAAAGAATGGGTAGACTCTAAACTCTAGGATTGTGTCCCCAGCAGAGCCACCAGCTGTCGTAATCGGCAAAAAAATAAGAGACTCGCCACCATTAATTTTGTCCTAAGGACGGGGAAATAACAGATAATCCTAATTTGTACATAAATTCTAAATTCGTAAGTCAATTAGATGAATGGAAGGTGTTAGGCGCCCTTCATTTTCCTTGTTCTCAAGGGGCTCCGCTTTTAGGTTTAAGGATAAGATGGGAATTTGATAGTTAATATTTCTATATGTTGAGGAAATGATTTAATTTTTTAATAGTTGGGCTCGCCTTGGTTTTAACTACGTGTCTACGTATCTCCTTGCGAAAAATCATAGTCAAATTTCGTAGTTCGTAGTTTTTGGTTGGTGTTTTTTATAGGATCGCGTAGAATTGCTTTCGAGTTATCCTTGAACCTTGTATGAGTTTTGTAACAGAGTGATCGTAAACACAGTTCACAGTTGATTTTGAAAGTAATCATCTTTAATCTTTTTTCGAAAATAATCTTGTATTTTTATCATGTTAGTAAACAAAATAATTTAGATTGTTGGTTAGTTGTTTTAACATTTGATTTGGTGGATTAAAAAAGAGTAGATCTTCATTGGAATTAATTCGCGCTAAGCGACTAAATTGATTTGATTTGTTGATTAGTTGTTTTGAATTAGATTTTTGAATCATTAAAGAAGAATGAATCTTCATCAGAATTAAATCACTCTAGGCGAAATAATTGATTCGATTGATAATAAGCTGTTTGAATTAAGTCTTGATAAAGAGTTGGTAATCCTTAGAATTAATTCGCTTGAGACGAAGAAATTGACTTGGTCGATAAGGAGTTAATCCTTATTTGAATTCGATCGCTCTAGGCGAAGAAATTTGACTCTGATTTGTTTGTGAATTTTAATTATTTTGGTCTTTTGTATTTCTATGTTATTTGTCAATTAAAAGAGAAATCTAAATATTGTTATATTTTTCTTAAGGATAATTAAAAGGGGAATGATCAACTAAAAAAGAAATTAAATTATGTTATAAAAATAATAACAATAATTATTAAAAAGAAGTTAGTATATATAAAATAAATAGAGGTTGACATTAGATTAATCTGAAAATAATAATATAATTTATCAAAGAAATTAATTCTAAGTAATAAAAATTAATCACAAGAAAATATTTTGAATTAAATGAGTTAAATACATTTCTTTTAATTTTTTTGTGTTTTATTGTTTTTTGTGATTTTTATGCTTGTAGTATGTGAGAAAGAACATAAGTAGTGCTTTATAGAAAAATCATCAAAGAGCATGTGTAGTTGTTATTTCCGTGAAGAAGGTACAAAAGTTAGAAGGCTTGCTTGGATGATAAAATTTATAATTAAAATAATGTTTGTTGTAAAATTCTTTTTATAAAATGATAATAAACAACAAATTAAAAATTAAGCAGAAAAACTAAGTGAAATAAGAATTAGATTAATTACAGGAAAAAGATGTACCAAGTAATCTGATTATAAATTATATCATCCACAAATCAATCTCAAATTTCTATCGATCATCAATCAAAGACAAAAACACAAATGATTCACCACAACAAAAACCGCACGCAAACTATCAAACAAAAAACATAAAATAATTTAGAACACACACGAGCTATAATTGAGGTAGTAGAAAAAAAACCAACTTACGCGAGGGAGATTTCTTCGGGTGAATAAAGAATAAAAAAATATTTTCTTTAGAGATCCTCTTTTCCTTCGTGCCTTCTTTTCGATATTTTACAATTCCTCTTCTTTTTGTTTGTTTTTGTTACGAGAACTTTTTTGTTGATAGAATAAAGTTAGGGAGGTAGGATTCAAACACATGACCTTATACTTGCAATTCTCGTCTTTTTACCAATTGTGCTATCTAATTAATTTGAAATAAAAATCCAATTGAAGTATATAAAAGTAGAAAAATATTTGCTATTTAAGAAAACAAATAATTTAAAATAAATTATTATATATTTTTAAAGTTAAACAACTAGAAAACTCCAAAATATTAGTGTAAATAAATCAAAGAAGTTTATAACCACCAAGTTTGAAGATCATTTGAATGTTAGAGATAGGATGAACAAATTTGAGATATGACACCACGGAAAGATCATTGTCACCTTTAAAAGGCAATCTAAATGTTGGACTTCCACGGAAAGGTCTTTGTCGCCCTTAAAAGAATCTACATGATGGACTTCCAGAGGAAGATCCTTGCTGCCCTTAAAAGTCAATACGCATGTTAGACTTCCCTCGAAATATCCTTGTCGTCCCTAGGGAAATATAAGTACCAAACTTCCATGAGAATATCCCTCGTGGAGCATAAACCAACAACTTAAAATCTCGCTTGAGGCGCTTAACATAAAATCTCTCTCCGGGGAATTTAATTTAAACTCTCGCCCGAAGGACTTAACATAGAGTCTCGTCTTAGGGACTCAACATAGAGTCTCGTCTTAGGGACTCAACATAAAGTCTCACTCAAAGGCCTTAACATAGAGTCTCATCTCAGGAACTCAACACAGAGTCTCGCTTGCGGGACTTAACACAAAGTCTCGTCTTAGGGACTCAACATAGAGTCTTGTTTGAGGGACTCAACATAAAGTCTCTCATGAGAGACTCAACTTAAAGTCTCTCATGAGAGACTTAACATAGAGTCTCGTCTTAAGAACTCAATATAGAGTCTCGTCTGAGGGACTTAAAGTCTTGTCTTAGAGGTTCAACTTAAAGTCTCGTCTAAACTACTCAAAGTAAGGGAAAAAACTAAATCATTTCACCTTTTATAAAAACCTTATTCTTGAGGAATTGTGTATCGATATAAATATAAAGGTTCTCATTGGGGATGCAAGAACTCTCTCAAGACAGGCAAGGTGGCACGTCGCCTACGCGAAAGAAAATGGAAACATCATGTTCTCTTAAATAAAAGGAGATTGATTACTTATTTTCCACATTCTTGGAGTGATCATATTCACCTCTTTAATCTCAATATATTTTAACCATTTAATTTTTGATAAACCAAATGATATATATTATAACGATAAATGGATAAAATATTTAATTATCATATTGAACTGATTTATAATGTATCTCATATCAACTAAAGAATGAAAATAAAATTCATAATTAACTTATACAAATGGTTTTACACTGTCAGATAAAAAAGCAAAGCTACAACCGCAAGGTAACGTCCTCCTCGGGGCACTTTAGTAATTCACCGCCTACCCTACACACAGGTCCATCGCAAAATTGCAAACTCCATTTGAACTTTCTCTCTCAAGAAGCGAATGAAAAATCTGAATGTGTTTCTCTCTCTCTCTCTCTGAAATTTGAAAGAAAAGGAAAATGTATCATTAAATATTAATTATAATTATTAAATCCAAACCGTTAAAGAAACTGTTTCAAAGTTGAATTTGGATCCTTTGTGCTTCGCTTTGTTCTTCCTCTCTCTCTCTCTCAGGTATAAGATTCTCATCTTAATTGTGCGTAATTTCAATCTTTATGTCTTTCCTTTTTTTGATCTGTTACAATTTATGATTCAACTAATTGCTGAATTTTCGTTTTTATTTTGTTGATTGTGATTATGATATGAAAATTGATGAATCAGATCTTTGTTACCTCATTGGAAATGAATATAATGAATTTGATTATGGGGTTTTGATAAATTGGTGATTTTGGGTTTTGTTTTTGTGTGTTGAACAGATGGTAAAGGGAGGGAAGGTTAATAGCAAAGGTGGTTTTAGGAAAAGGGTTAGGTCAAAGGGGGGTGGTTCGGATGATTCCGATGAGGATTATGTGGTTTCGGATGATGCGGGGAATGTGTCTGATTGTGGTGAGGATGATTGTTTTTCTTTAGATGGATGTGCGGCGGAGGATAGTTTTGATGGCTTTATAGAAGATGAGGATGTGGACGAGGTGGAGATTCGAGGGGTGGTGAAATTTAATGGATCGAGGGGTAAAACCGGTGTGAGGCGTCCGGGGAAGAATGTGAGTAAAACTGCGCGGAAGAGACAGAGGATTGAATATGCAGAAGAACTAGATGAGGAAGAAGAAGAAGAAGAAGAAGAAGTAGAAGAAGAAGATGATGAAGATTATGATGAAGAAGAAGAGGAGGAAGACGAAGAAGAAAAAGAAGTGGAAGAAGTAGAGGTAGAAGAAGAAGAAGAAGAAGAAGAAGAAGAAGAAGAAAAAGAAGAAGAAGAAAAAGAAGTGGAAGAGGTAGATGGAAATGACGAGGATGAGGATTTCAATTATGATGATGACGAATTTATACCTGATGAAGAAGATTACACAGATGAGGAGGAAGAAGAAAGAAGGGGCGGGAAGAAGAAAAAAGAGGATTTTAATTATGAAGATGAAGAATTTATACTAATGGAAGAAGAAAGAAGGGGAAGGAAGAAGAAAAAGGAGGATTTCAATGATGAAGATGATGAATTTGTACCAACGGAAGAAGAAAGAAGGGGCAGGAGGAAGAAAAAGGAGGATTTCAATTATGAAGATGAGGAATTTATACCAACGGAAGAAGATTACACGGATGAGGAAGAAGAAGAAATGAGGGGAATAACGAAGAAAAATAATGGCATTAAAATGGGCAAGAAGAACACTTTGAAGAAAAGGGTTTCTGCAGCTTCTAGCAGATGTCGAAAAAGGAGTGGTTCTAGAGTTTCAAAGAAGCCTAAGAGAAAGAGAAGAGGAAAGAGTGAAGGATCAAGGAGGAAAGTAAAGTGTGAAGATGCAGACGATTTTTGGGATAATGGACCCGCCATCAGAACAAATAGCAGAAAGAAATCGGGCCAGAAAAGGAGAAGGGTTCTCGTTGAAGATGCCAATTCCTGTTCAGATTGTGAGACTAGACCATCTGATTATGAGTTTACTATTTCTGAAGAAGAAAAAGAACAGGTGAGAGAAGCCAAGGAGTTGTGCGGAAATATAAGAAGAAACTTGAGGAGAGCTTCTCTTCGAATGAAAAATGAAGAGGTTGAAATACATGAAGATCTACATCAGCAACGGAAGCCTCCAGCACAGAAGGGTAAGGAAAAGATAGAGGAATCTCAAGGAAGAAAGGGTAAGGAAAAAGTCGAGGAGTTAAAAATCGAGGTGACAAAGCAGGTCTGTGGAATTTGTCTGTCCGAGGAAAATAAAAGAAGAGTAAGGGGAATACTAAACAGCTGCACTCACTATTTTTGCTTTGCTTGCATTATGGAGTGGTCAAAGGTTGAATCTCGCTGCCCTCTGTGTAAGCAGAGATTCAAAACAATCAGTAAGCCCGCACGATCAACAACAGCACAAGAAGCAGTGATACAAGTGCCGGAACGTGATCAGGTATTTGAATTTCACTTGCAAGATTTTGACTTTTTTTCATATGGATTTGCAATTCAATTGGTTGATTCTTATGAAAATGTTTTGATTTTACATTCAGGTTTATCAGCCAACTGAAGAAGAACTGAGGAGTTACATTGATCCATACGAGTCCGTTATTTGTTCAGAGTGCAATCTAGGTGGAGATGATGCCCTCATGCTACTCTGTGATATATGTGATTCTCCTGCGCATACTTATTGTGTTGGTTTGGGGAGAGAAGTACCTGAAGGTAATTGGTACTGTGATGGTTGTAGACCAGTTGCTTTGGCATCTTTAAACTCCCAAGCTCAAGAACGCGGTGCTGATTTAAGAGCTACTACCCAAAGCCAGCCTTCCAGACCATCGCCTGTTCATATACGAGAAAGTATAGACCTGAACTTGATGTCATCACCCTATCCATCGTTTGGTCAAGGGTTTGGGCATCTTTCATCCTCTAGATTTTCGGGCAGAAGTGCCGAAGGTGCTTCTCCGATGTCTGGTGGCGGGGCACCAACTGTATCAGAGAGACGACGGATACACCGTCAAATTCAGCAGCTACGATCAATGGATAGAATGACTTATACAACCGGCAGAGTTAACAATGTTTCAGCTACCAGTACAATAAGTAACTTGCATAGCTCTCAAATCGATCAAACTAGGGAGCCAACTTCTCAATATACAATGGCACAGGATGTAGGAACATCCTATCACACATTTTTTGAGGAAAGATTAGGCAACAACATCTCTCCACTAATGCAGAATGGAGATCACTTCTCCACAAGAATAAGCAATTCAATAAGGTCAGTGGTTCAGGATTCAACCATGTTTTCCAACGGGGCTATGAACACAGTTATATGGCCTGGATTTTCGGGGACACGCACGTTATCAGATATTGAACCAATCCACCCGTTCAGCAGCAGATCAAACATTGTCACCGAGCGTAGTAATATTCCTCCAACTATCATAGAAGAAGATAACTTGCACATTGTAAAGGAGCAATTGCAGTCAATGGTTAAAAGCCATCTGAAGAGATTGTCAAAAGATACTGATTTGGGTAAATTCCTCTTCTTGTGTATCCATTGTTCTGCTTTTTGTTCATACAATTTGAATTTGAATTTGAATTTATTTTAGCATGTCTTTTGTGTATTGATTCAGATTATAGTACATTCAAAGACATTGCGAGGAGTTCTACACATACAATACTTGCTGCTTGTGGACTCGAGCACAAGACGAGCGAGGTTTGTACGGTGCCTCCACCATCCGTCTGTCCCCACATTGAATTAATTGCTGGTGGACAAACGAGTATGATTAAGGGTTGCTGCTCCTCTTGTTTTGATTCTTTTGTAGGAGATGTGGTTAAAAGGATTTTGGACACAAGAATGTCTTCGCAGTGGTTAAGGTTAGGAATTTAGACAAAATATTCTTGAATGTGTCCAAAGAGACGCACCTTTTTTTATTATTTTATTTCTTAGGAATTAAGTTAGGACAAGAATTTATCATTTACTTGTTCATGCATACATTGACATGATTTACTAACATTTCAAAGAAAGGCTGCATTATGTGTTCATTCTAAACTTCAATTTGTTTATTTTGGCACTCTTGCTTATACAAAAGATATGGAAGAATGATTCATAATGTTAAAAATCTCAGTTACAATTTTTTTTGGGATCAATTTGTTTAGTGGAATGTCTTGGATTCAAATTCATGCTCCTGCATTTTATGTTCTTGCACAGGCCACAACTACTAATAGAGTTGACTTAACAGGACTTAGTTAATGACTTAACGAGACTCGGTTAATGGAACTCAACGAGACTCAGTTATTATTTCTTACATCTTAGGATTTTCTCTAAAATTAGTACTAGTAATTCTTGAATTAATTGGCACTGTAATTGATTATTAGAATTTTTTTGATGACCCTATCAATTAGCATTTTTTTCGGCGTTATGTAATTCTCAAAAATAAATGGCCCATCCTAAACGAAAAGTGGTCCAATACGTAAAAATCCAACTCATTGATCTTTTTGAGATTGAGAAAATCTATAAAAATACGATCTTCTTGAGATTGAGAAAAGTGGATTTCTTTAGCCACTCCTATGTCTTTAGTCTATTGGTGAAATTTTTATTTTATCTCTTAATTTCGAATATGAATATTTGAATTTATCATATATGAATATTTGAATTCATCATATTTTATTTTTTATTAAATTGTTTCAAACGGATAAGCTCCGCCATCCTTTTCAAAGGGAATCTTTTACCCAATTTATGTAATAAATGTATTTTTAGATATGGATATCTGAAAATACTACTGAATATTTAAATCATTATAACACTTAAATAAAGGGGTTTTAGATAGAATATCCGAAACATCTTGAAAATAGTTTTTAAGAGTTCGTTTGAATATATATATGGGTGACAAATAGACATACCCACTCTGTTTAGGCTTGCCTCGAAAAAACTCGCAAAAAATCGTGGCGGACAGGACGGACATTGTTGATGATGCAGCCTAAAACCAATCACCGCCCCTCAAAAAAGTGGGGGTGAGATGGAGAAAGCTCGCGGACACTGTATCTTTTAAACTTAAAAACACAAAAATTTATATAAATGCACATGTTCGCAAAAGCCTGCGTAAAAAAATGAGACAGAGCGAAGTAGACACATTAGAGGGTGAGAGTCTAAACCCTTGATCCGTCCGCACTAAAATACAAATAAAACCTTTAAATATACATATCCAAATGATATTTTGTGATTTTCAAAAATATTTTTCATCCATATAAAAGTGGTCAAAAAAATTCCCTTCAAAAATTTATAAATGTCTTTACAAAAATATTTTAAACAGTGAGATGGTGATGAAGATGAAAGTCACATAATCCAACTCACATATTTTTTTATTAACAAAATCAATTTCATATTTTATAATATGTATAATTTTTCAGCTTTACTTTAAATATGATTAAGGTAAAAATATTTTAAAATTTTAGATAATACTAACATGTCTAAGAGCATAAATTAAGAGATAGAATTTTTTTTTGAAAATTGTAAATTATTTTAATTAAAAATTAATAATTAACTTTTTATTGATTTTTTCAAAACAAATTTTTTGTTTTTAAATTTATTAACTTGTACCCTTTAAACACATGTCAGTATTATCTTTAGATTATTTATATTTATGAGTAATTAAACATGTAAAATATTTGTAAAATAATATCCAATTTGTTTAAATAATAAATAACTAATATCAGTTATTAATATAATATTAATTATTTTTAAATTACATATTATAATTAGTATTACTTACATTATTTTAAACTAAATATTCCAGTTTATATTTATGATAAAAATAAATACTAATACATTTAAAAATATTTATTAAAAGTGGTCTTCTCTCTCTTTTATTCATCTATTTTTGTGTGTTAAATTTACAATTTTTTAATTAGTGGGGATTGGCCATTTAGATGTCTAAGAGCATTCACATCCATACTACTCATATTAATAGTATAAGTGGGTCCCATCTAATATAATATATTACTTTACACTTCTCAATTATTTAAACCACTTAATTATATTTTCTAAATATCCATACTACTTACTTAAAACTCTAACATGGGTCCCACAAAATTAATCCAACAGTAACATGTTATTTGAAAATTTAATCCAACAGCTATACATGCTACAAGCTAATATATTTATTAAAAGCTACGATCCCTTTTTTGGATACGGTGCCAATTAATACTACTATCATTTGTCTTCTATTATCAATACTACTCTGACTACAGTAGTACACATAGACATAAGCCACAGTGATATTTATGCTCTAAGATCTTGCTTAGTCTTGTTTAGGGGGTGTTATGAAGTGGGTTGATTTTTTTGACAAAAGATAATCATTCATTCAAATTGAAAAATATATAGATTATTAAAAAATTTAAATTGTTAAAAATTGAAAAAGACGAATCTACAAACAATCTTGCAACACTTAGGTGTTGATGCAGTAAAGCGGCAAGTCAAGTCAGCGATTAGAAATATTTAGGATTTTATCGTATCTATAGAAATCAGTATGAGAGAAAGAATGTTGTTCAATAGTTTCTGTGTTTTCGAGCTTGAATTAAAATGGTTTAAAAGCAAATGTGCAGAAAATAAAAGATCTTAACAAGTAAAATAAAATACGTGAAATAACTCGTCAGGAATTGTATTTCTATTTACCCATCAAACATCAAAAAATCTACCAATTAAATGTATACAACCTACATCACTCATCAATACCCTCACGTATCGCTTACATCAATATCGATTTCTGAAACACCGACGAGATTACAACTGTATTGTCCAACCAGTGGTGTCTCACGCAATGGAACAACACATATCATTATAACTTGATACTCATGAATGCTAAATCTTAAATCTATATCTAGAAATAGAATCTAACATATATCATCTAAGATCAGGTTCGAATCATTCATTTCTATACCACCCAAACCCATAAATAATCATAGACAACATTAATAAGGATTTATAAAAGAGATTATATACAACTATCAATAAATGTACACACAATCAAGATAAACATCTATACAAAGCCCCAATAAGAGAAATTACAAAGAGAAGAAAGAAGATGAACTCGAATCTCTCGGTTTGTCAACGTCGATTCATACAAATTGAGCTCTGGATCATCAAGATGCAACTTCTATTGTTGTTTCTAAGTTCTTCTACTCAAAAAATGGTTGTGATGGTGTTGAGACTCAAAAATACCCAAACCATAACCTAGAAATGTGTTTCAAACCCCTAAATACAAGTTTTTGTCCAGACAGTTTCGTCCGGCGGCCAAAAACTTCGCCCAACGAAATGTTTTATTCCCAAAATACAGCGCAACAACAGCCATACTCGTCTCGAGCTCGCCCGACGACCAAGAGGCGCTCACATCGCCCCGAGCTCACCCGACGATTTTGACAACAAACAGAACAATCATTTCTTACTTTCACCATAACTTGAGAACCGTAACTCTGATTTACGCACAGTCAGAAGCGCTGAAAAGCTTATTCAATGCTCTATATTGAAATGCGTAAATATCATTACTTGAATACCTACAAAAATGAATAAAAACAATTAAACTCAATGATATTTACACGATAACGCACAATATACACTATAACATAAACTATACAAAATATACACAAAAGTTGAGGTTTATTGACGAAAAGCAAACGAATTAAGTCGATGAATGCTAATTAACACACTCAAATTCACAACAATTTAGCACTCAATACTAGATTAATAGCATATAACAGCAACATGAAAGTACCAACAAATATGATAAAATAAAAATAATCAGAATATTCATATTTCCTGATCTGCAACATTAACACCCAAATCTTCATCATATCTGTAATGAATTAATGTAAAATGTCAATATGAACCAACGAACACCATACTAAGATGAAATCACCAAGAAACACCACACAAGACGGCGAAAACTTCAAAACACAAAAATGAATAAGCAAATCTATATGGACAACTACTTATTTAAATAAACAGGGAGAAAAAACGATGATAGAAATGATTTAAGTTAAAAATGATCAAAAATCATACCCTAAATTAGAAGAATAAAAAGAGAAAAAAGTTAACAGATAATTGTGCGTGATCTAATTTAGTTTTATGTTCAAATTTATGATCGAATGATGTTATGGGATTGATGTGAAGTTTTCCTTTGTTTTTTTTTTACTGCTGTCTTGATTCTGATTTTAGTGCTGGTTGTATGTGTTTTTTTAGATTTATGGCTTGACAGTTCTTATGCTTATATTATCTCTTTTTTTGGACTTTAGCCTTTATTAATAATATATTGTTTCACCATTAAAAAAAATTTAAGATAGAGAAAGTAATGATTAGCATATTTCTAAAATAGTTATTCATACTATTTTAAAATAACCATTAATTTATAAAAAAAACTTTATCGATTCAGTTCATTTTTTAATACAATATTAATATTTTTAATTGTATATTTTAATTAAAATCACTTGTACTCCTCTTAATTCAATATATTTTAAATTACATTTTCTATTAAAATGAATATTCCACTGCATTAATGGCTAAAGTAAATATATGATAAATGTACTGTATTAAAAATAGTCTTCACTATTTTCCTTATACATTTTTAATCAATTTTCCTCATTTGTTTTGAAATAGGAGGAATACTATTTAAATAATACTTCTGTCATATAAGACTATTGATAATTTTTTAGTAGTAAGATTTTTTTAAAATTTTCAACCTCGTCAATTATTTAATTATAAACATACAAACTTATGTATTTTATATAATAAATATTAAGTATATGACCTAACAAAATAAAGACATGTATGTAAGTGGTGCTTGAGATCAGAATGTGACTGGTGATATTTTAAATTTATTAAATAGTTAATATATC